GTACACAATTTAAACTATTTTATCTAAGTATATAAAACTTTGTTTTAAAAATTAGTCAGGTTAGATCTTAAATTAGAGAAATATAAAATATGATTACTTACTTTCACTATCACAGTCTACTTTCCCCAACACAACTTTACCGGGCCCTGGATAAAGTTCAGAAACTTTTGCAGCAGCTTCTTCAAAGATTGGAGTAAGAATGCCACTAAACCGACACCAATCGGCATAGAAATTTATTATAACTAACTCATTAGATGCTAAAACAAAAAAAAAATTAAATATTAATATGATTTAAATAAATTACAAAAAAACATTAGGCAGTTTAGGTGTTACAGATTGTAGTATTTTGATGTCAATGAAAGACAACTTTAAGTTTGAACAATATGCTACTACAGTTGATTGTACAATGTAAATACTATAGAAGATCTCTGCTAATTTCTTATACCTACTCATTTTGGAGATAAAAACGGAATGAATAATATCATATTTTATGAAAATATAAAATATTTGAATATAAGTGTAAGTTATGTGATTTAAAGCAAAAATAGGGGTTGATCATTTTGAGTTTATCTCCTGCAAGTGCATAGAAATATATTACAGAGATTTTAGTAAGATTGGAAAATAAAAATATTATAGAACTAATTATGATTACATTAAAGAAACAAATTACTCATAGAAGCCAACCCAAACCAGTAGTTAAGGTATATAAAGTTATTATTTTTACAATAAATTGTTTATCAAATATTTTACAATGAATTAAAACAAAATCAACATATTATTTTATAATAATTACCTAATGTCATATCAATATTTTGGCTGTGGAGTTTTACAGCATTGCCGATTACTGGATTGTAGAACAGATATGCCTAAAATTAACAATCTGTTAGACAATGTAATACATAAATCAAACGATAACAAGCAACTTTGTAGGTATACTTACTGAAGAAAAAAACAACAGGAACAATTTATTAGCAAATAACTTCCAGTAATTTTGATTCATGGTATTTTTAAAACTATACTTGAAGTGACATTAGGGTAAGAATAGCTGGTGGGAAGAGAAACTAATTACTATACCTTAAAACCTTAACTTCTTTTCTAAGAGAAAACGAGGACTTTTKTGAACTGTGGAGATGACGTAAATAAGAGGATAAATAAGTCTTTTTCTCAACGGCGGATTGTTTAAAAGAACTACAGAGTACAGACTTTGATTTTATGAATATATTTAGTGACTTAACATTTAACTTTAGGATACGATTTGAAGATATCAGAAAAACGTCAAAAACCATTAGACGTCATCCGGCGAATGTTCGCTGATTAGGACACGTCGATTTGTTCCATGAAACTGATAACAAAACCGTACAATACAAATTAATGTGACAATCAGACGGCTGATAGCAGTATAGCACTAATGCACTATGTAATATGTATGCACTAAAGGTGGTTACACACGGAACGATTTGAACGCGCGCGTTCGAGATTTTCAAATCGCGGCAAATAATCGCCCCAAAATAGTATAGGTACGACGTGTATTTTTGATGTTGATATTTAAACGGGGAATAACAAACGCGTTCGGTTGCGAGCGTACACAATAAATCACACATGTTTAATTTTAACGCGTTCGGTCGCGATCAACATCAAAAATTCATATTGTGTACTTATTCGGTTGATTATTATTTATTTGCTGCGATTCGAAAATCGTCGGCATATGAAAGGAAATTAAAATACAAAAGAAAACCTACACGATTGAGCATAAAAAAACTCTGCAACGTTGCCATTTTCAATTAAAAAAAAACAATAATAATAATTTAAATTTAAAAATATTTATTCAAATAATTATAATAATTTAAAATATAATATGTCAAACAACGTGATTTCATAGTCAATGTTTAATGTACCTAGTCACATTAAGATATAT